GGTGCATTGAGTTATGATTTTTTTAAACGCTACAAAATCTTAAGCAGTTAAATTTTGGAAGCCTAAGTTTCATTTAGTTGAAAGCTATTTTCTCTCATTTGGAACTTGATCTGGAGTCTCTGGTGTTCTGCAACATTGAGGCATCCTCACCAAAGTAGTTAATAATAACAACCTTTTAAGCAGACAATAGCACAATAATCCCAGTTAATTTGTAAGATTTTATTTCTATTCTTAGTCAACACAGTGCTAAAGCACCCTTCTGATTCTTTTAATTGGCATATTTTGGTATTTATAAAAACTCTTTTTCCATTGTTGGTGCTAAAATTTGGAACAGCATTCCCGAAAGCTATCGAAAACTACCAAAGCACATGTTCAAAAAGAAAATTCTTAAAAGCATTAGTATTTGAAACTCTAGAAACTCTGGACAGTTATGCTGACACTAGCACTCTTATTTGTGAAATAAAAAAGGCATCTTGATAACAATTCAATTATAAATTACAATACTTTTCTTCACTTTTTATCACTTTTTTTCCTCTTTTGACAAATAATGTATTCAAAAACGAATTTTTTTAACGCCTGTAATTAGTAATTCGTGTTTGTTTGTCGTTAACACCGCCCACCTAGATTAGTTCGCTATTTGCAGACGGTGTTCATTGTAAGTAATTGTATTGGAAGACCTAATAAACTTGAACTTAAACTTGAACTTACAGCAACTTCCATTCAAGTTGAATTCTGGACATGAGACTTCCATGTGTCAAATCAACTGAAGCATTTTCGGCAGACCTTTCCTTCTCTCCCTCTACTTTCCCTTTCTGACCTTTAGTGCTTGAAAGACAACAGTGACATAGTAACTCAACATGATGCTCGACATTACAAAAAATTCATGTTTTATTGTGGGACTAATGAACCAGCTACAATTGGTCCTAGTTTTTCATATGATTGATTGACAAAGCTGCACAAGTTTCTTAGACAAATGATGGAGCAAATAAAAGCAAACCAATACAATCTTAGATGATTTCCCACACCCAAGTAAAGGCAATTTTCAATTGAGTGTTGAAAGCACTCCAGAACTGCATTGGTCTTTCCCTACTTTGCTCTGAGATTGGTCCAGAAAACTCAGGCCAATCTCTCAGCTGCTCAGATACAAAACCAAAACCAATCACATATTGGTCACCTGCATTTTTCCCCTCTTAAGAAAGTTTGGTTGGTTTTACTTTGAGTATTCCTTAGT